CAACCTGGGCCAGTGTCTCACCATAATGGTATGTGTATCACAGTTTGAGATTGATTAGACTTATTTTTAGGCTTTGAGAAGTATGTGAAAGAAAGAAATCCACTCTGATTGCAAAAGAATGGAATGAGAAAGGAAAACAATATGCTACTAACTAAATATAGACTTGGGATAGATGAGAATTATTCATGAAAGTCCCTGCTGAAATTACCAGCTATGGTGGCTGATTATACTGATTTGCTTCCTGTCAGAAGCATCTTCTAATAATTTGAGTTTGCCTTGATTTCGACACAACAGAAATACCTCATGCAGACACATTTTAGCTCTAGAAAGGTGTAGTCAAATCTAAGAATTACACAGACTAAGAGTTAATGTTTTAATCACAAATGCCACATGGATTCAAAATGCTGTATGGAATGTATCTATGCTTTTTGTTCTACTAATATCTGATTAAAAACAGGAGCCCAAACACAATAAAGAGCAGGGCAAGACAATTACCCAGACAGGAATTTTTCAACTTAAGCCCATTTTGACCAAGGTACTAGAATAAAAGACTGCATGGGGTTTTTTTCCCTATGTTGTTCTGCATATTATTTTGCTCTATAATAGATGACTCAACATCAAGATCATAAAGGAAAAATTCCTTTCTCAACAGAAGTAAATTCAGACTAGAAAACTGAATCCTTTGCTGATTAAGTTTGAGACAAAACCTCCTGCTCCTCTTTACAGAAGCATTATGGAAAGAAAAACAATGGGGATCATTTATGGTTCTGTCCTACAGCAACTGGAGCAAGAAGTATTTGAGCAGTCTGATCATTATTCCGGCATCTTAACCAATGGACCCGATCACCTGGTCAGCGATACCTGGTATGATGATCTCAGGGACATCCAGAATGTTGCCAAATGAAGCAGTTTTACGATGGCCTCGTTTAGGCTTGGGATAGGCTGAAAAAATACACATATACAATACACATGCAAAACACTAAAACGGCAACAGCGAAATTATTAAATTCCTAAGACTGCGTTTTTGTTTCAGATAACTTGGTTAAACTAGAGGTCATGCAAAAAAAATGGGTCATGCAGAATCAACTGCATTGCCTTCCACTCATGCTTACACATAGTAAAGCAACTGTTAAAAAGCAAAAAATGCAGAACTAGGCGTCGTTACGACACGGTGTCATTAGTTATCGTTAGCAACACAAAAGTCAAACACAGAAAGCAGCATGGCAACACAGAAGGGAAAAACCAAATGTAATTATCCAAACAGAGAACAAAGTCATTTGTTTCAGTTCATCTGTACATTCAACAGAAACTCCTGATTGCCTGAACATATAGGACATTTTCTCTTTAGCTCTGGGTACAAACTATTTTAGAAGTAGTTTAGTAGTTAGGTACTTCTGTTTCTTTAGATCACCTCCTTTTAGAAGGCATCTGAAAACTGTTTGCTCTTATCACATTTGACAATCACTCCTGCTATTCATTCTTTTGTCCTATTTTGTTTTGGGGACTGGATATCACTACCAACTTTTGCCTCTTTGAACGATGTTCAAGAAACATTATAGACTTGGAAATAAAATCTAATTGTACTTTTGAAAAAAAATTTACTGTTTTTGTGGCTTAAGATAAATATTTCCTATTTAGAGAAAAATCAAAACAGATCTCACAAAGGCAGAACATTGTAGCACATCCATCTTGGTAAATAATGGGGATGTTCATGATTTACTCTAACTTAGCAAAAGATGGAACAAGAAGACTAAATGATTCTTGACCTGATTTAACAACAGCCCAATTCTCACCCAGACACATGGTTTGGTTTTTTTTTGCAAGTTCACAGCATATTACTTCTGTCACACAGTTAACAAGGTGAAAAAAACAAAACAAAACCAATGCAGTGCTGTTTCAGCTCTTTCTGAGAAAGCTACACTCACATGGGTTTGACCTCATTTCTAGTAGTCCACTACTGCCTGAAGTGATTGCTTAAAAAAAACAACCAAAGAAACCCCAAAGCAAAAATAGTATGTTCAATGTATCCTTTGGTTTCAAGAAGAAAAAACCCTACAGTCACACAACAGAAGAAATTCATCTTGGAATATTCTGGAGAGTAATTATTCTGTCAGCACTTAAGGAAGGCAAAGGAGGAAAAGTAAAAACTCACAGAAAGGAGGGTCAGGTTATCTCCACTAACACCAAAAACTGAAGTGTCAGTGACCAAAGTGAGTCCTGACATAGTTTGAAATAAAACCAGCACGGTATGATTACCAGGTAAGTACACAGCTGCCCTCTGTGTTAGGAAACCTTCAGAGATATCAGGGTGAGATGTGCTGCACAATTATCCACTCAAAGACTGACAGTACAAAAAGACAAATTTTGGAATAAGGCTTTAAAATAAGAACATGAAAGCAGAAAGTGTTTAGGGCAAGGTAAATGTTACTTCATGAGTAACTTCTGTATTTAGTAATACAAGATCTGGGAGTAGCCATAAGCATAGAATCATAAAATTTAAGGGTTGGAATGGACTTTACAGATCATCCAGCCCCAACCCCTGCCCTGGGCAGGGACACCTTCTCACTAGATCAAGTTGCTCAAGGCTCATCCAACCTGGTCTTGAACACCACCAGGGTTTAAGATGAACAATGAAGAACAAAACTGCAATAGTCATGGGGCACAAGAAAAGTAATTATGCATCCAAATTCTGCCTATTAATTGAAGCTACTCCATTAGCCTAATTTTCAGATGGGTGAAAAAAGACTCAAACAGCTAAATAACCCTGAACTAATCAAAGTAATTTGGTTTGATTGTTTAAATCTGTGGTTAGGTACTGTAACAAAAAAAACCAAACAAGTTTCACACATGAAACTCAAAATCTGATGTTTACATAGATCAACAAACAGAATCTTTGATGAAGAAAAGAGACAAGAAAGTGTTTGCCAAGTGTACACGTTTTTATTAATTGACTCTCCTGGGAAGAATAAAGATTGCTTTCACCATAAAATGATGTATTTATACTTACACATAAATCCCAATTCACTCAAGGATTTAATGTTTAGAGATAACAATTTATAGCTGAAGCAAACCTGGCAAAACACCTGAAATTTTATTTTTTGTCCAACAAAAGACACCAATGCTTTGTTAACCTGCTGAATAAAACCTGACTATGTTTCTCTTGCTGAAACCTGTCAAAGTGGATTTTAAAACTTACTTGGGAACATGCTGAACTTTAAACCTACCTCTTAATTTCACAATTATTAGAGCAATGACCTTGGACAACTTGTTATTATCTAAATAATGATGCTAGCAGCGATGGAATAACATTATTTCAGACGCAAAGGAGAAAATAGTGCATTTGGAATAGGACTGAAAAAAATAATGCATTTCTAAAAAAAAAAAAAGCTCCAACAAAATCTCTTCTACAGCCTTTAAAATACTCAATGTTGCTGAGTGCACAAGCATAAATAAAGCCATTTCCCCCCTCCCCAATTAATAAAGGACAATAAACACTATATGAAAATCTAAAGTTTTTTTATATAGCTACTGGTATTGAACTTCTGTAAGACTATGGATATTTTACATTTTCCTTTCTCCTTTCTTTCCTTCCAATTCCTTAGCCTATGCCAAAAAACACCCTTTAATTTTACCTGTGATGGAAGCTATTCTTGCTTCTATGTCAGACATGTCAGCACTCATCCTTTTGGCTTCTCCAGAAACAAGGGCTGACTGCGGTCGAGCGCGAACGTCTGACAAGCTCTCCACGCTGCTCCCTCGAGACGGGGGGAGACTCAAACGGCCAGGGTCACCCTGTTTCAACAGGCACAGGTTTAGACAGAAAATTCTGCACAAGTCCCTCCGTGATAGCATAGAATCATCAAGGTTGGAGGAGACCTCTAAGATCATCAAGTCCAACCATTAAATTGTCCCTGCTGGAACCCCCAAACCCTAACCCAGATCCTCCAGTGCCACATCAGACACCTCTGAAACACCTCCAGGGATGGTGACTGCACCACCTCCCTGGGCAATATCCCAGGGCCTCAACACCACAACAGGCAAAACATTTCTCCTCACATCCAATCTGACTCTGCCCTGGCTCAGCTCAAGGCCATTCCCTCTCTCCTCTCCCTCAGCCCTGGCAGGACACACATCCCACACCTCTCTCCAGCCCTGGCAGGAGTTGCAGAGAGCCAGGAGGTCACCCCTGAGCCTCTTCTCCAGGCTGACCAACCCAACTCCCTCAGCCCTTGCCCATGT